GATATATTCTAAAGCAAAATTCAACTGGAACCCTAAAAATATCTATTAACACTGGCAGAGCAGATTCCTTTATCTTTTGCCACCCCAAGTTTTGACTCCTCTCACTAACGTCACAGCCAAAGGTTGCTACAGACACACTTGATCCCTTCCCGTTCAGATCCTTAGGCCACAACAACAGGCTGCTTGGCGGGGCATCCTTATCCTTATCTTCCCTTCGCCCCACCTCACATTGTGATTATGGAAAAGACAGTGGCAAGAGGAGATAGCAAGTGGGGGCTCCTCTGAAGGATAATTTGTGGGGAGCACGCAGACCTCCAGAATTCCAGCAGCCTTTCCCAAAGCCACCTTAATAAATGTGCAATATGAGTAAAAACCGTATTTATTTTGCAAATGTAGCTTTGAATTCCTACTCCACCCCTATCTCTCCCTCCTAGACCTTCACAGTGTCCCACCTCAACTGCCTCCTACAGAAATTCTGGGGTGCCCAATTCTGGGCAAGAGCAGCTGTACCCATCTTTGCACTGGGGCATGTGGCGGCTCCAGCAGCAAAATGCAGTCTGGTCATTTCAATGTCCCAGGACTTGGAAGGAGAACTGATCGCTGAGAAGCTGTTCCCTGCCCTCCTCTGCCAGCTGGCAGACAGAAGATGTTCAATTTCTCAGGCCATGTAACAGTAGGTCTGCGCTCACCAAATTCTACAGGGCCCAGAACAAGTGGCTCAGGCTCTCCCACTGAGTGATGATGTGCTACTTCCCCAACAGTATAAGGGCACAGCTACATTAGTCATCACCTTTTGAACAGGACTACTCACTCCCAGGGCAGGCCTTGCCTAAAGTAACACTATCAGAGTAACCAATCCGCCTCCCACCTCTTAGAATTCCATACTGGACAAGATTCCCTGATCAAGTACATGAGAAAAGCACACCACCAATTAAAACTCCCAATGATGCAAGGAGAGCGAGTTCTACTTTTCCAGGGTCCCCAGGGAGTGCACCTCTAGCCACTGCCTCCCATCAGCCTGCGGGACACAGAAGTGAAGGTGCCTTTTCTACTCTCTTCTCCATAAGCAAACAGTACTTGGTCAGGCATTAAATGCTCTGATTATGAAGTTCCTCCTGACAAGTAAAAGTTAGGGGGCAAAGCCACAGCTGAGCTCATCTGGAAGCAGTAAGAAGGAAGGCAAGACCCACAGTGGGCAGGAGCAGATGCATGGAACACAGGCAATCGTGTGAGTCAGATCTACACTGGAAAGCATTTGGAGAAAAAAGCTGAGAATGCCTGGTGTCCTCTGAAGATGAAGAAATGTTATACTCATATGGATTTTATAAGACAGTGAATGATGAAGAACCATGTATTATATGTAATACAAACAGCAGCAGCACAAAGGTAACTTGAGTCTTAACCAGAATAATTTTTAACTGTGTTACCTGTGTATAATTAAACATTTTTTAAAAGGTAGAAGAGTGGTAGAAATGGAATCCAGTCAAATACAAGGTGAACAAGCCCCATTATGATATACTCAATCATATCTGGATTAAGAGCTACCTATTATTATAGGGGCGCCTAAGTGGCTCCACCAGTTAAGCATCCACAACTCGATCTCAGCTCTGGTCTTGATCTCAGGGTGGAGAGTTTGAGCCCTGCATTGGGCTCCACACATTAAAAAAAAAAAAAAAAAAAAAAAAAAAAAAGGAGCTGCCTATTACAATAATAACTACATACAAGGAAATCTTGATGTAAAGGAAGATGCTTTAGCCCAAGTTCACATGTATGTGGTATTTGCTTTGAAAGGTGTGGTCCCATATAAACTGGCAAAGCTACCAATATCTCTAACATAATGTTTTATTCATGTCTCAATTCAGTTTTACTCCAGGGGGAGAAAAAGTGGCCCATTGGTTAAGAACTTTGATGACTGTACATTCACGCCCATCTTTATTTAGTCAGGCTCTCGGCAGGCCAGTGAGAACAGAACCAGGCCCTTAATGCCCTGGAGTGTCCTCCTACTCATCTAATAGGAAACAGACTTCGAAGAATTGAAGAAATACCATAGTTTAGTTCAAAAGATGTTTTTGCTCTGTTTAGTTTCCCCCCCCCCCCATATACCCTTTGGTAATTTCTAAGAGACATTACGGCTTTCTTTGGTTTCCATACAGTCTAAAAGTTAAACCGTTTTTAGAGTTAAACTGGGTACAGAGAATGAGTGCTGGGAAAGTGTGATGAGAATGTGTACGATGGGAAAAGGGGAAGAAATAAGACAGAGGGGAGAACTGCAGGCAAATATGAAAAGAAACTTCTATACTAAGAAAATCAGAAAAGTTAAAACTCTGGTCTGGAGGGCTGGGAGACAGACTGTGGCCAGTCCTCACGCACCTGTCTAAACCCTTTAGCTCCAACATTTGATATCCAAACAGTCAATGGCTGGTGGATACCATTCATTTAAAAGTCTACAACAACGCCATGTCACTGAACTTTCTGTGATGTTGGAGATGCCATATTCTGTGCTAATCTGGCAGCCACGAGCCACACATGGCTACTGAGCATTTAGAACATGATTAATGCAACCAAAGGAATGAATTGTTTATTTTATTTAACCTTAATTAATTTAAATGTAAGTACCATATGTAACAAGCGGCTACTGGATTGGACAGTACGAGGTCTAGGATACATGCCTGTCAATGGGTTAATGTCACTCTGCTAGATCCGAAGCCCCATGAGGATAGCACTGGGCCGGTCTTATTTACCTCTCTTTCTGACATGGAACAGGGCCTGGCACATTGTGTACACTTAATAACTGCTGACTGATCAGAGTATCACAGAAGCATATCAAAAAGGAAGTATCTTTTCTAAAAGAATTGTACATTGAAAGATGCTCCTAAAAAAAAAAAAAAAAAAAAAAGAAAGATGCTCCTGAACACCCGAGTCTTATTTTAAAACCCACTGCCAAGTTGTATAGCCAACCTAATCTTTCCCCACTTTAATTTCCTTTTACCCATTTCTCACACAAAAGAAACCAATATTTCGCACCACAGGTTGACATATTCAATATTACTTTTTTATCAAAAATATTCCATTATTTCATGATTTTCCTAAAATGTATCACTTCTAAACCATTATGTATTCCTTTTATTCTTCCTTAGAAAACACTCCAAGCTCACTTGGACCACCTCCCCTAGCTCATATTCCATAAGTTGAACATAGATACCCAAATACAGATTGGTTAAAAATGGTCTATAAACATCTTTCTGCCTGCTTTGCTTACAAAACAGAGGAAGGCAGCCCAGGTGGCTCAGCGATTTAACGCTGCCTTCAGCCCAAGGGCCTGATCCTGGAGACCTAGGATCGAGTCCCACGTCAGGCTCCCTGCATGGAGCCTGCTTCTCCCTCTGCCTGTGTCTCTGCCTCTCTCTCTCTCTCCCTCTCTCTCTCTCTCTCCCCCTGGTGTCTCTCATGAAATAAATAAAATCTTTAAAAAAAAAAAACAGAGGATATATATATATATTATATATATATAGCGCATATATGTCTATATAAACAAACATATCAACACATCCACATCCACACACATATATGTATATATATCCAAGCACACACATATGCACACTACTGAGTCTCCAATTATCAAGTCCTCCATCGTACAGTCTACCTGCCTACGTTGTTCTACTCCTAAGGCCATATAGTTATGGGGATCAGAAAGAACTAGATTAGAATTATAACTCTTCTATGTTTTAGATATGCACTCCTGGGCAAATTACTTAACCCCCCTGGGCTTTCCTTTCATAAGTTTGTTGAAGGGATTAGATGGTATACCAGCTATGAAAGCATCCAGAAGAGCAACCCAATGCACAGCAAGTGGCATGCAATGTTTACTGCATGAGTAACTTATTTCCTCTGTTTCTTGGGACCTCCTCCCAAGGCTTACAAACTTCCCAAGAATGGGCTAGTATTGGTTATCTTCTGGTTTAAAGTAATCAGGATCTGAAAATTAAAAAACAGATTCAGAAAAAAATAATAATAAAAATTAAAATAAAATAAATAAAAACAGATTCAGGGGACCCTGGATGGCTCGGCGGTTAAGCGTCTGCCTTCGGCTCAGGGCGTGATCCTGGAGACCAGGGACCGAGTCCTACATCAGGCTCCCTGCATGGAGCCTGCTTCTCCCTCTGCCTGTGTCTCTGCCTCTCTGTCTCTCATGAATAAATAAAATCTTAAAAAAAAAAAAAAAAAAACAGATTCAAGGGGTGCCTAGGTGGCTCAGCTGAATGAGTGTCTGCCTCCTGCTCAGGTCATGATCCCAAGGTCCTGGGATCAAGCTCCAAGTCAGGCTCTCTGATCAGCAGGGAGTCTGCTTCTCCCTCTCCATCTGCCCCTGGCATGTACACTCTCACTCTCTCTCTCTCTTCCTATCATTAATTAATAAATAGAATAGAATAAAATAAATCTAAAAAAAAAAAAAAAAGCAGCTTCAAGGGCAAGCTCCTGATAAGGGATTGAAGAAACAAAGGAAAGGAATATATCACAACCTTAAGAAGATGAAAGAAGAACTCATTCAAGAAAGCCATTTCTGATCCCATATAAAGATCAAACGAAAGGCCTGTGGACATGATTTTCAACTCCATCTATGTTTGTGAATGGCAATAGTTTATATTGTCTATAACTGGTTAAAATCTGTCACCTGTTTATCTTTAAAGTATTAAATATCACAAGACCACCTGCTATTTAGCTATTTAGACCACACAGTTGGTAACCTTGATTTCTAGCACCTTCAACTATTCTAGAGCTTCTTCAACACTCAGACAACATTTATAAATAGAACTGAAGTAAATAACAGCTTTAACAGTTTGTATGAAGAATCCATACGTATGTAGCAATACAGTACTCCTTGAAAAAGTTAGCCTCTGTATTTTGTTTCTAGACTGCCTGGCAGGGAAGTGCATAAGGAGTCAAGATCCTAGGAAATATCATCAACAGGAAAGAGAGGAGGTCATGGGACTCATCTGTACCTCTGCTTCCTGCAGGGTCCCGTGGTTTAGGCACACTGTGTCAGGGCAGGCAATGGGAGACCCACATCCTTCTCGGATTGCCAGCTGCAGGTACTGTTTCAAGCACTAGAAGTTAAGAAGAAAAAAAAGACCATTACTCATTGCATTTCAGTAGCACAAAGGTTACATAACCACCACGGCCTCTTCTTCCTTCACTGGCAGTCCTGGGCTCTTGTACTCAGGAAACATAAGTTATCACAAGTGTGAACATTGAGAGCCCTCACTTTGGAAAGAATGCAAGATAGGTGATTAATTATGTATGACCTCATCCTAAGAATATTGAGTTTACTCAAGGAAACAAGTCAAATTCCCAAACACTCACACATTTTATCTACCACTGATTTGGGAAAGAAGAAACACTCTTTTGCACTGATGGCAAAAGCCTTTTTACTTTTTCTTTCTTTCTTTTTTTAAACTTATGTGACTTCCTAATTCCCTTATTACCTAGTGGTCCTTTCCCTCAAAGTTGGCCTAAAAGTAGAACTCTGTGACTCTCATGCTGAGCTAGCCAAACAGAATCAAAATACAATTGACCCTTGAACAACATGGGTTTGAACCATGTGGGTCCATGGATATGCAGGGTTTTCTCAATCAATATAGTACATAAATGTATTTTCTCTTACAATTTTCACAATTTAACAACTCTTAAAAAGTGATGATTACAACTGGGTTCAGATTTTTCAAATTTATGCATTTATGTATCAACCTGCTACATTAGAAATATTGCTGTTGCACCAACCTTTTATAAAAGCTTAATTATTAAACAAATTCTATGGTCAGAATACTGAAACTGTAATTGTGAACCTATTCCTTTCACTGGTCATCTTTATTCTTTTTTTATTTTTTTAAGATTTCATTGATTTATTTGAGAGAAGAGAGAGAAAGCAAACATGAGGGGGGGGGCAGAGGAAAGGAGAAGCAGACTCCCCACTAAGCAGGAAGCCTGACATGGGGCTCAATCCCAGGACATGGGGCTCAATCCCAGGACCTTGAGATCATGACCTGAGCCAAAGGCAGACACTAACAGACTGAGCCACCCAGGCACACCTATCTCTATTTTTTTTCCTGAAAAGAAAACTAATACAACAATGACATTATTTCTAGAAACTAATCTTCTATTTACCTGATTGAAATTACCGTTACAATGTACTACCAAAGCAAAGACTAGAGCAAAATATTTAAACCAGATTTGTATTTCTAGAACTACTTAATAATTCCCTTCTTCAAGGAGTCCATTTCCCCCTATGACTTCATCACAGAAAAAAATGGGAAAGTAACCCAAGTATCCAAAATAGAAGAACATGTAAATAAATTATGCTAAATTCATATAACAGCATGCTGAAGAATCATGAAAAATATTTTCAAATTATGTTTAAACACACAGGGAAAATGTTCATGATTCAGTATGAACTGGTGAAAAAAGGTATCTAGGAACAGGGCTTCTCTTGAGGAATTCTTCCTACAGTTGACTGTACTATAGGTACCGTATTTTAGCTTTTATTTTCTTGTTTGAGAGGAGGGTGAACAATTCCTTGCTCTAGGAGTTTCTGTGCCAGACAGTCTCTCATGCTAAGAAGAATGGAAAAGGAGAAGAGAGCCATAACTTGGAAATATGGGGAAGAATTTCAGTACATGTGCAAAACTCAAGAGGAAAAGCAAAAAAGCTGGCTCACAAAAAGGAGGCTTACACCAAAGGACAAATGAATAAATGATGCAAAGGCCTGTCCACCCGGCTCTGTTCCTAAGGACCTCGCTGCCATCCATCTGCCACACAGATTCCAGTGTGACCACCACCCATGTTCCCCAACTGCCACTTGAAATTTAAGCAGAAAGGCTCTGAAAATGTATGGTCTCCAGGCTCAGGGGAAGGTATCTGAGAAAACAAAATGAACAGCATTATGAACATCTATTAGAATTATGTGGCTCTAGCCATGGTGCCATTCCCTCAGGTGACAATGGGAAAGTTACTTAAGTTGTGCCCCAAACCTGCTTCCCTTCATTGGAAAACCAGAAACAATTAATATCTGGCTATGGTTACCTCACAGGGTTTTAAAGACATGTACACACAAAACACAAACCTGGAGTTGTATATACGGGAACCCTTTGAAAAATTCGCAAACTGCAGACTATTTGGTTTTATTTCTACTCCACTTCATTTAATCTTAGACGTTCTATCCAAAACTTGGTGAGGAAATGTTAATCCTCTGATTTCTGAGATTATCCTTTTTCTACTCCCTTTGGAGAACCAGTTAATAAGCCACTGTGGTACAGAACCTCCATAAACAGAGCAGATAATTTGCAACAGGACATCATACACACCTCTATTCAAGTCTCTCGCTAGAACTATTTGCACCTGTAGAAAAAGCTTAGAGTCCAACAGAAATAAACACTTTGTGAGTTTTTACAGGCAAAAAAAAAAAAATCATTTCAATTTATTTTACAAACCTGTAAAGTTGAAATCTAAGCTTTCCCAAGAGTTTATCATAGATGTTCTATTTGTTAATGTAGTGTTCTTAGGTGTAAAGCCAGTAAATTCTGAAGCTGCCAACAAGGACCCTCCTGGACACAATATTACGTGACCCATGATTCTAGGGGAGAAGTCAGAGCTATACATACGGGCTACAGGGCATGCCTGCATGAATACATACAGCAAGCTTTCAGGACAGCATAGGCACTTAACACTCCATCACCGTGAGCATGCATTTCTAGTCGAAAGGCAAGAGGGACAACCGCCAGCCCTAGTTATTTTTTCTTGTTGAATTTTCAAGCACCTTCGGTTTATTCTGTCTTCCAACGGCTTTCACTAAGAATTTAATCCCAAACCCTCCCTTCTCTCCCCCAGCACCTCTGGCTGAAGTACAACAGAAGCAAAAACATTCATTGGAACTCCCCTGTGCATGTTATACAAACCAAACCAACTTAAATAGTTAACAATTCTAGGAGAGACTGGCTTCCAGACTGTAAATGAAGACACAAAGAAAGAGGGGGAGAAAAAGCACCATCATTTAGTCACATTAAAAAAAAAATTCCCTCCCAGGCAGGCAGTCTCTGCTTTGCCGTCCTGCCGACAGCTCCCCTGCACTGTACTCAGTAAACTTCTATCTCCTCTCTTCTGCCCTGGGGTGAATTCTTTCACCACTGGGCCACCGGCCCCCACCCCATGCAACCACCTCACATTTGCTGGCCCTCCCAGGGAACCTCTGGCCCAGTGGGGCCTGGCTTCTCCCTGGATTCTCTGGGAATTTCTCAGGACTTTCTCGGGAGGCATAGGGTGGGCTCAAGGAGGCTGTGGGGGGAGCTGATGACCTCAGGCTGAGATTACTCCTAGGGGAGGCTCAGGCTAGAAGTTCCTGATGGGGGGAAGGAGGAGAAAGCCACCAGGGCCCTTGCCAGAAAGAACAAAGGATTTCCCCTCTGGCCCTTGGGAGAAATCTCCCCCTCCTTTCCCTTTCACTTTCTGGCCCCCACCTGGCAGTCTAACCTAGTCCTTCCCAGACAAGGGCTCTGGCCTGATGGTCAGACTGGGCCCACCCATGAGGGCCAAGGACCCCTTCTCTCTGCTCTCCCACTCCACCTCCAGTGTATGGCACAGTCGGCAGCGACAACTAGTCCAGGGCGCATCTGCACACCTTGTGGAACCCATTGACTGACTCTCAGCCACTGTGTGCTGCTTTCGGGCCCCCACTTTTTCCTCTGTCCCCATTGGTCTGGCCACTGTCTTGACCTGCAGGCAAAATATGCTCCTGCATATCGGACTGACTCCATTCCATACACAGGTGACAAGTCCACAAGGACCTGTCTGAGGGTCCCCTCCTGCTATACCCCAAGGACCCAGCCACCTTGGAGTTTCACTTAAATCGCCTATGAGCACGTTAATCTAATACTAAGTTCTGCCTGTAACTGCACAGAATCACCAATGGCCCAACAAGTTTAGGTAGGGACAGAGTGTCCCCCACCCCACCCAGCAGGAAACGGCTACTGAAGGCAAGACTTCCATCCAAATGCCAAAGTTGTGTCATTGTCGGTCAGTCAGTGGGGAATACAGAGGCCCTTTTTTGGCAATAGGCTTGAGCTATGGAAACCCAAGTAAGGTAAAAGGGTTGACCAGCAGGCTGAATGCAAACAGCCTTGTTAAGTGACTCACTTCAAAATATCCATAAGCTGTAGCTGACCAATGGGTTACCCACAACCTGACACAGATACCCAAAAAGGGAAAATTCAGTATGTTCCCATACCTTCTCGCTCCCTCTTCTCTCCCTCCCCTACAGCCCCCATCACAACCTCCTGGCAGATGGTCTGTCCTTTGCTGCTCCCTTGCAGTGTATTCCATAAAATTCTATCTCCTTAAAAAAAAATTACATTCCATTGAATAATAGCATTAAACAGATGCCAAAATATGCAATTTTCGTAACAGAGTCTAAGGGAAATGTTTTGAAAAAAACTTCTTGAAAATCCTGATGACACACAAAAAGAAAGAAATGGTTTTTTTTTTTCCTTTTTTAAATAGTCAACATTCCACTTAATTTGTATGGGAGAACATAGAAACATTTTTAGGCCATGGACCATCATATATAATAATGATTTTTTTTCTCTCCTCCAACTCCTGTCCTTGTCTTGCATTTTCTATCTCTATCTCATTTTCTATCTCATTCTCTCTCTATATTCACAAATGACATTTCCATCCACCCAGTTGCACAACCTGGAAATGCATGGATCATCTCTAACATCTCTTTGTCTTACCCTGGATCCAATAAATGCCTACGAGAAGTCTTCGCCTGTCTAACCATGCCCTCACTACTTAACAGAGCCTTTGAATCCCACTGTCCCAACATACCAGCTTCCCCACATCCCCAGTCTTCCCCAGCTCAGTAAATGGAACCAATTACCCAATTACTCAGCCAAAACAAAAGCAAAGACACCCTTGATGCCTCTTTGCTCAAACTCTCAACCAAAACATGTCCCCAAACTAAGCATTTCTCATCATTTCCGCTGCAAACTCAAGTCCCCATCACCCCTTTTGGAGACATCTGCACTAGCTTTCTTGCTGGTCTCTACTCCACACAGTA